TGCCTAGTCTATTCTCTTTTTACCCTGTCTGTTTTGTTTCTGCCTAGTCTATTTTCTTTCCATTGCCTTTGCATTGCAGTGTACATCGCGTATTGATTTCATTAGCGCCTTGCCACATGCACAATTCTGTCTAGACGAAGATAATGCGACGAACTTAACAGACTATCCACTATGAAGAGGTTATTCACTGCAATGGGATCAGATAAAAGTGTCCACAGTCCAGAATACGTAGGTGTCCACTAACAGAGGTTTTACTGTATTTGTTTTCACGTATCAGTTAGACTGATCATTGATCAAAACTAAAAAAACAGTAAGTTTATGCGGGAATGAGAAAAAGCATAGTAAACGGAATTGAAATTCATTGAAATCTCAAGCTTAAAAAGAATCGAAAACATTGTCAATCGCACTGTCACTTTTTTAAAATATCGATTTCATTTCGAAAAATGTCTTCGTTATTATTATCTTGTTGACTTCCACTTTCATCACTTTCGGTTATCAAGAATAGTTTCTTTAATTTTGTAACATTCGTCTAATGTTCTTCGAGATACTTCGGAGAATATCATCGATTGTGCCAGTTCGTTGCTCTATAACACGATAGATTACCTAAGACGATCATTCCGACCGTTGAAAACGACGTAATATTGCACTAAGTGTCGCTGTAATCCGTCATCTCATTCTACGAATCGCTTTTTCCGTTAGCTAACGGTCATTCTCACTCAAACATTCTAATCGTTTTGTGGAAGAATGAGTGTCGTAACATAATAGAGCTGACTTTTGTTATTTTATATTGTTTACGGTCATTTACAACGTCATTTTCTTACAGTTGAACATATAATAAACAGAGAAAACCTAGACGCTTTGAAAATTTGTATTTAATCGATTGATAATTGTAATTATGTGACATATTAACTGTTGGAAAAAGATCATTCAATTGTAGTCATTGATATAATTCAATGAACCATGTATTCTTTGTCGTATAATTGTATAACATAAATTCCGGAAAAATTAAAATTTGCCTTTGAAATTGGTAAGATTTTGCACTGGAATCATAAATTGTGCAAAGATGATGTCATATTTGAAGGGCTTCTACACCTTCTAGAGTAAGTAAGCGTCATAATTAATTGATTCGTTCTTCCTACGTTTTTTTGACTAAATACTTGAACAGTTCCATATTCATATAAATAAATCTTACAAACATAATATTTTTTTATAATGATTTTCCGATTAGAACATTCAATCGAAGAAAATAAATTTGAAAACAATTTTGTAAACAAAACATGAACAAAATAATTGTTTTAAATGTTCTGTCTAAATTAATTGAAGAACAGATTATTGTTTCATCATTCTTGTAGAATGACTTACGATTAAGAATAAGAAGAGATATTGTTTTGACAAAAGTCGTATATTGATTGAGAATATTGTAATTTGTAACATAAACTTACAATAATGAATATATTGTTATTATAGCAATACAATTTTAACTTAATAGATTTACTATCAATTAGGCGTTTGTAGAAACCTCGTATTAACAACTTTAGTGATGCCTTTTCCGACGTCTAAATCGAAATTTTTTCGATCTTTGGTTTTTCATCGTGAATATATCTGCGAAGTATCTTCTGTCAAATGCTATATAAATGAGGACATTTCCTTGTTAGTTAGTACTTTTATTAAATCAAATTCTCGAAATTTGTAGTGGAAAAACTAGCGTGATGATTATTCTTTGTATGCAAAACTCTTCTAATCATAATGATTATGTCTCATTTCAAAGATACTGAGAGTCTGGATTATAGATCTCTAACATCACAAAACACTGCCAATTTTCTATCACTTTGAATTTCTGGCCATTTTTGGCTGTTCAAATTTTGCGGTATTTATCGAGGTTCTATGTACCTTGAGAGTTTCATAGTTGTTCGTCGGGTTGTTCTCGAAAAACTCTAGAAAGAGAGGAAGGATTTTCTGAAGCATTATATTTGTATTAATATAAATTTTTGTTTATTAAGTAATACTTTATTGATTTGTCTTTATGGATAACTTAATTAAAATTTAAGAGTTTTATTTATTTATTTATTTATTATCAGCTCACTACAGAAAAATAAGTTCATCTATACTTTATAGATTAAATAGAATTTTGATGCAAACTTAAAAGTACATTGCATTAAGATTACTTTTCGTCTCGTCATATTTAAAACTAGATAACAATTTGCGAAGATTTTCAACGATAACAAATATCAGTAGTTTATTTTTGTTTTTTGAATACTACTGAAGTTATTTTTGAATTATATAAAGATCATTCGTGGTAATCCAAGTATTTCTAATTGATATAAATGTATAATTATTGCAACATGAAAATAATTTCAAAATAACTCGCATACAATGTAACCACCACTTGTAAATGTTGGGTTTTTTTCCAAAACAGCTTATCATATGTATTTACTGATGGCATGCGTACCGATAAAAATGAGTAAGAAGAATGACGCATAAGTAAAACAAACTATTCTGAGTAATTTTACGGTCCTGAAAAAATATAAAATATTTTTTTCTTTCCTGAGTAACGCGAAATTATTTAAATGATTCATTCGTCCGACAGTATATATTAATATGTCTCGTGTTAATATGTGTGTCATTCATCGCATATTAAGATGAATACGTTTGTAGATAGACAACAGTACTATTAGACCTTTCGTTCATTTTACTGTTACTAATCTCATAGTTATATCTCAGTTGTGAGTTGTATCTTGCAACTAAAAGATATAGAACTTAATTTCTTTTTTTTCATGTTCAATATATCCTTCATTTTAACTTAGAAACATATAAATCTGACATTTCATTTGAAGAAGAAAGTATTTGTCAGTACTGTTAGTTGATTATCACAATTTATTTTTCAGAATGTTTCGCTCCATACTTACATATTGAATACTATTTTCTTTTAGATATAATTGAAACAATGAGCATCGATCTAGATAATATTATAAAGGTAGTTTTTGGAAATTAATTTAATATTAATTTGATTTTTATTATTATTATTTTGTAGAAAGCCGTGAACTTTGCCGAGTGCGCTACTTCAGAAGATAAAGCACAGAATTATGAGGTAGCTGCACAAGCCTATATGGCTGCTGCAAATTGGTTTCTGCATGCGGTAAAATGTGAGTAATGATAGCAAATATCCCAAGATTTGAACTGTGATGTATGTATTTTACTAGATGGAGCTATAAACGAACCGACAAGGCAAAAAATACGTGCAAAAGTTAAGACGTATATTCAACGAGCAGAAGATATTAAGAAGATCAATGATAAGAATCCAAAGAAAAAAGAAGCTGTGGTCAGTGATGATAATGGTCAGGAAAGGTCAAAACGTCATAAAGTTAGTGATGATGATAATATAGATGAAGAGAGAAAACATATGATGCAAAAATTTCAAGGTTGACTTTATCATGTCTATCGTTCTAATATAAACAATATTGTTCCACTTTTACTCTAGGAGCTATTATCACTGATCAAAATGTTACATTTGATGATGTTGTCGGGTTAGAACAAGCTAAAACGGCAATGCGAGAAGCAGTCATCTTACCAGTTAAGTTTCCAAAACTTTTCACAGGTATATCTTTGCATAAAACGATTAAAAATTGTCGATCAATGTTGAACATATTCTATATCTTTTATTGTTTAGGTAAACGTAAACCATGGGCAGGTATTTTACTTTATGGAGTAAGTTTAAACCTCTTCAGTAGGTTTCATCTTTTAATTTTCATTTCAGCCACCTGGTACTGGCAAGTCATTTTTGGCTAAAGCAATTGCTACGGAATGTAAAAGTACATTCATTTCGATCACTTCATCTGATCTTCTTTCGAAATATTTGGGTGAAAGTGAAAAAGGTGTAAAAGGCTTATTTGAACTTGCTCGTAAACGACAACCATGTATTGTATTTATTGATGAAATTGATGCTTTATGTGGACAGCGTAATGATACAGAATCTGAAGCATCAAGACGTGTCAAAACTGAATTTCTTGTTCAAATGCAAGGTATATTTATTGTGTGTATTCATAAGATTGAATAAATCTTATGTTGTGATGTTTACTTAGGGGTTGGAACAGATAATTCAGGTGTTCTTGTTCTTGCTGCAACCAATATTCCTTGGGCATTGGATTCAGCTATTCGACGACGGTATACTTAACATCAAACATATGTTGCATATTGATTATTTGAAATTATTTTAGTTTTGAAAAGCGAATCTATATTTCACTTCCAGGTGTGAATGAACGAGCAGATATGTTTAAAACACATTTGGGTATCGAAACTCTTCATACAATAAAAGACCATGAATGGATGGAATTAGCACAAAAAGCTGAACAGTAAGTTTTTTTTTAATGTTTATAGTATAGAAGATAGTTACGTTTTGTTGTAGTTATTCTGGTGCTGATATTGCTGTTGTTTGTCGAGAGGCTTTACTAAGACCTATTCGACGACTTAGTTCATCAACTCATTTCAAACGAGTAAATTTATTTCAATTAATAATGTTTATTTAATATTTTTTTGATTTTAACATAGGTGCAAAATCCAGAACATGATGGTCCAAGTCAACTTTGGCTTGCTTGTTCACCTGGAGATCCAGCTGCTCAATCATTTACATTAGAGAAAATAACTCCTAATGAGTTATGTGAACCACCAGTAATCATGGTTAGTTATTACAAAAATTTGTTACTTAAATTAGAAATTGAGATAGATAATTTCTTTTTTTTTTAGTCTGATATGGTAGCTGCACTTGCTACGCAAAAAGCAACAGTAGGTGAACATGAATTGGGAAAATATCAAAAATTTACCCAAGAATTTGGTCAAGAAGGTTCATAAAGAAAATAAACGAAAAATTTTACGAACTAGAATTTTTGTACAAATCATTCCAATGATCTATGATATTCGTTCTTGTGTTATATTCTATAGATCAGAATATTTTTTATTTTGTTAATTTGCTGTTTTTTTTTACAACAATTCATATGAACTCTGATATAATTCATTTGTTTTCATAAAAAATCTAGTTATTATTACATCAATATTATGTCTTGCATGCGAATTTTCGAGTACGAAGAAAATCTACGCTTTCAAACATTAAGATTGATTTTCTAGTTTCTATGAAAGTAGATATTTTGTTTACTGAAAATTTTAAATGATTTATCTGGTATTATGGTTCTAGAATATTTACCAAGTAATACTCTGTCTATTGATTTTATTCTCGTTTACATAGTCATCCACAAAAAAAATTTCGTGTCATCTAAATCTTATTACAAAAATAATTAAATTTCATTTACATTTATGAGTTATGAATTCAATCTAGATCTTGTGCTAAAATTTTTCTAAAAATGAAAGAAAAAAACGTTTTCTTATTGAAAAAACTTCATTTGCGTATGTGTTAAGGCTTGTATTGGAGATGTATCAGAACAGCTACAAAAATCATTTATTAAAGTTATGCTAACTGATATGTTTCTTATGATATTATTCTTCTCTGTTGTGTAAAACGTAGAGTTATTTCTAGATATTTCCATGAAATCTAATAAATTATAGCATATGTATGAATAAATATAAAATTTATTTATTATTCATTGAACATGCTTTATTATTGATATCTGTAGATGAATACCTAATCGATTTGAATATCGTACTTCAACAATTGGTTTCTTTCTTCAAGAGATTGTTAAAAAAATGAATATTGATCTAAGGAATATTATCGAGGTATGACTTTACAATTGAATAGATATGACCTTTTATTTTTACTACTTCATAGAAAGGTTTTCAATTCGCCGAGCAGGCTGATTTTGAAGATAAAGCACATAACTATGAGTTGGCTGTACAAGCATATTTGGAAGCCTCAGATTGTTTAACACATGGTACAAACTGTAAGTATTCAAAGTAAATTTTCGAAGAAATTGAAAACTGAATTGTATATACCGTTTAGACGGAATTATGAACGAAGAATTGAAGGAAAGTATACATGCTAAAGTCGAACGTTATTTAAAACGAGTTGAAGAAATCAAAAATTTTATGACGAATGAAGCAACGAAAACAGAAGCATTCATTAATGATACTACAGATTGTGAAAGTTTCAACGATAATAAAAACAAGGAATATGAGACTAAAGATATAAATTCAAAACACATTATCAAAAGTAAGTCTTATGTTATATTGATCAATGATTATAAAATTACAAAAACTAAGTAGTGATATTTTTTTTATTGCTGTTTATTCTTATTCCATAACTGTACATGATAGTTTTTTTTCTAATTTTATAAATGGATAATCTTGAATATACTTTGGTATCTTTAAATATATTTTTTCGTATGTATGAATTTAATTGATAGAAAGTATTTCAATATGCTTTGAGGTTATTCACTTTTCTCAAGTTGGGCAAATGATATATGACTAATATTCTTGAAAATAAATGAGTCTATTGTTAAATCAATTATAGTTTATAAACAAGAATCCGTTAAAATAATGTATTCTATGCATGTCAAAGTAAAAATTTACAAAAATAGTTTAATATGTTCAAAAATTATCCTTCCGTGAATAAGAAAGTTATTATAAAATATTACTGAACGCAAATGAATATTAAAACTACATAAATATGTTATTCAATACGTGTTAGACTGTATTTTATAAACTCTTTAAAAGTATAGCACATGTTAATTTGTCATAGGATGTATTGTCACTGATTCAACAGTAACCTTTGATGATGTCCTCGGTTTAGCAAACGCTAAAACAGTATTATTCGAAGCTGTTAAATTGCCTATTAAATTCCCAAAACTTTTTCAAGGTAAAAACAAGTATATATTTTAGGACAGTTGTATCGTCATATTATGCTTTTATTCTTAGACAAACAAAACTTCTCAACTTCTATCTTACTCTATGGAGTAAGTTTATTATTCTAGATAGATCTCATTTTTTTTTCTTTTTAAGCCTCCTGGCATTGGTAAAACCTATTTAGCTAAGTCGCTTGCTGCTGAATGTAAAACAACATTTATTTCTGTAAATGCATGGGGATTTCAGCCAAAATATCTTAATTACAATGAAAAATCTGTTAATTCTATATTTGAATTAGCTCGTCAACGGCAACCATGTATTTTATTTATTGATGATATTGATGGTTTGCCTGGACAACGTTATGATTCCGAATCGGAATTATATCAACGTATAACACAAGAATTTTTAATTCAAACAGAAGGTACTTTTTGTGAATAATATAAAAGAATAATGTCAATCTAATTCTATAATCATAAATTAGATATTACAATGAATAATACAGGTATTTTTCTTGTTGCTGCCAGTAGTACTCCTTGGACACTTGAAGCAGCTATTCGACAAAGGTACATTATCTATATTTATCTGTTTTATCATAGCATTTAATATTATATGTCTTCACTTGTTAGATTTAAAAAGCAAATCTATATTCCATTACCTGAATTGAATGAACGAGCAGCTATGTTTAAAATGTATATGAATGCTAGTACTGATAATTATATTATTAATGAACATGAATGGATGCAGTTAGCAGAAAAAACTGAATAGTATGCTTTATATCTTATGACATAGAGAATGATTATCTTTTTCTTGTAGTTATTCTAATGCTGATATTATGATCGTTTGTCGTGAAGCATTATTCAGACCTCTTCGTCCACTCATGTCAGCAACACATTTCAAACGAGTGCATATTCTTCTTTTGTGTTTTTGTATCTAGTATCTTTTATAATTTCTACATAGATGCCAAATTTAAAATGTGATAGTTCTCGTGAACTTTGGTTTGCTTGTTCATCCGAAGATCCGAATGCGGAAGTAGTCGCAATAGATAAAATAGAACCTAATGAATTATATATACCTCCAATAACCATGGTTAGTTGCTATGAAAATTTTCAATTAAATAATAAACAATCCGACATATATTTATTTTAAGGCGGATATGTTAGCAGCTCTTCTCACAATAAAACCTTCAATAAACGAATCGGAAATGATTAAATATCGAGATTTTAGTGGCAAGTTTGCAGAGAATGAATCATAATGAAAATAAAATAAAATTTTGAAAAATGCTAACAACATGAATTTTTCGAAGAATGGTCATTTGTATTGATTGTAATATATTTTCTTTATAGTTCTATCTGTTGTTTTTGTTTTTATTGATTTAATATCAGGTCATACAATTAAGGAGGAGAAACAAATAGGTTTCTTACTCTTAAATTTTCTGTTACACTTAGCTTTTCTCTCTGAAAAGTTTTGTTAGTTGATGTTTAATGGAATTTTTGATATTTTCCTATAGAATGAATACAAGAAAAAATTTCAAGAAAAATTTGAATCTGTTAATAAAGAAAATGCTTTCACTGCAATTCCCAAGAAGTATTAGCTACTTTCTTCCAAATAGAGAACTCTTTTACATTGGTGAATTCTTTCATATTCAGTTTGAGAGACTTTCTCTTCCTTTTGAATAAAGCTGAACGAAAGCCATAGATGGTGATGTAACATGTAAACAGTGTGTTCATGATTCCGTAGCATATGTATAAAGTTATTTACAAGTAGGTCAGTTAAGAAAACATGGAAATATTCTTGATTTTATATTTTCTTCATATTAAAAATGGGACAACAAAATAATCTCACAATGATGTCAACGTGTAAGACAGTTGTTATATTCATGGATAACTCACTAGAAAGAGTTAATATTATAATAAATGTACTAGCAAACACTTGATCATATCTGCTTTACAATTTCTGAGAATTAGCTTTGCGTTTTGCCTATAATATCAAAAATTCTCTACACTTCTTTATCTTCATCAACAAAACATTTATTCGTGTTCTGTGTTTTTTCCTTCTATTCAATCGTGAAAATTTGCTAATGACATAAGATAAATTATCAACAGAATATATCATTCAGCAGCTCTTTTAGATACATTTTTATTGTCACATATATTCTTGTTAAATTATCGAGATATATTTCTAATAAAACTAATCAAAATGAAACACATAATCTGTGCATTAACTTATTGATAAATCGATTATATTTTGAAATTTTATAACATTCGTTTACGAAGAGACTTTAAAGCGAATCATTTTTTTCTTTAATTTTCGTCTACATATAACGCGTTGTTTATGGTTATCATTACTATTACTAAAATCATCATTGCATTTCGTTTGTAATTTTTGTCGTTTACTTTGATTAGTATAGGTTGTTGTTTCTTATTTTCATGTAATGCATTATTATTGTCTCGTGTTGATACGCAACATGCACCATAATGTGCATAATAGCTAAATATCGATAATGGGTTTCATTTGATAATGCTACGACGCCTAATCATCATATCTCTAACTTGTTCACAAACATTTTCTCACAATTCACTGTCATCAACATCATTCATATCTGAGTTTTCGTCATCATCTCAATAATGTAACTCACGATAGTCTTTCTAACATGCATGATACTCATTAGCCATCGACTTCGATAAGCGTAGTGAGTAAGCATTAATGACAATAAATATCGTGATTAATAGAATGCAATTTGATATGCAACTAAAAACATTGGTTTTTATTTTTGATTATTTTATTCAAAATACATACTTTATCTTGTTCATCTAATGCGTTGCTCGAGACAATGTTTTTTATATTATTCATTAAGGCTCTTCTATATTAATGATGGAAGAATAAAATTTTAAAAAAAGAAACTCTTAGTTCAATGAAATGAATTCCATAAAAGAAAAAATTTTAAAGTTATGATTAAGAAAACAAAAAGACAAATCATTGATAATATATGAAAATTTCTATTCTTTAATTTTTTTGTCCTTTCTAGTATAGAGTAAACAACGCTAATCACATCATCCTTTTAAATTAATTTTTCTATGTTAGAGCTTCGATTTCGGCATTGTAACAAGAGTTGAAGACTTGCCATTTTTTGGTAATGATGTGCATCCACAAAGCATCATGGCAAGTTTAAATTCACGCTTCAATACTTCGAATATACCAACTACACCTTGACATCCACCTACTGCAAGTCCCCAAAGAACAGGTCGACCAATAAGTACAGCATCTGCTCCAAGTGCTATTGCCTTAAGAACATCTGTACCACGTCGAATTCCACCATCTAAATAAATATCAATCTTTTTTTTAGATTGCATTCCTCGAACGGCAGCAACAATTTCAGGCAAAACTTCAATTGTACTAAATGTTGTGTCAACTTGTCGAGCACCATGATTCGATACAACCATTCCATCAACATCAGCTTGAACAGCTAATTGAGCATCTTCACTAGTCATGATACCTTTAACAATAATAGGCAATCGAGTTATTTGCCTTAGCCATTTAATATCGGACCATGTTAATGTTGCATCAAGATTTCTTGCAATAAAATCATTTAATGCTGATACATGATCACTTTGTGCATGTTTTAAGTCACCATCATATAAATTTTCTAATTGCATATTTTCAGGTAAACGAAATCCATTTCGATGGTCTGCTTCACGATTACCAAAACGACAAGCATCAACCGTAACGACAAGCGCACGAAATCCAGCTTTTTCAGCACGATGAACAAGTCGTTCCGTAAAATTACGATCTTTAAGGATATATAATTGAAACCATAATTGAGATGTTGATGTTGGATATTCTTTTAATGCTTGTTGATGTTCACGAGCAACATCTTCTAAACGTGTTGTTGATAATGATGAAAGTATCATGACTGTATTAGCACGAACAGCTGCACGTGCTGTACTTAATTCACCACGATCATCAGCTAATCGATGCATTGCTGTTGGTGCAATTAAAACAGGAAATGAACAAGTTGTTTGACCATTTAATAAAGTAACAGAACAACTATTAGGATTTTCACCATGATGAGATACATCGACAAATACTCTTGGACGTAATTTAATACGTCGATAAGCTTCAACATTGTCTTTTAAAGTCAATTCATCATCAGCACCTGATCGATAATAATCATAAGCCATTTTAGAAAGTTTTTCTTTTGCTGCTTGATGATAATCTTCTATATTAAGTAAAATTCGAGATGCTTGTGGAATACTTGTATTCATTTGAGGTAATATACTGTCATCCATATTTTTTTCAGACATGTTTAAAAACAAACGTATGTTTGTCTACTGTTAAAGCATACTGAATCGAAACCGATAGCACACGTGTATCTTATTTATTAATACTACTTGCGGCATCTTACTTTTAAAAAGCCTCTTTCTGATTGGTTTTTACCAAATGGAAGTCAAAAGAACAGTCAGATGGAATTTGATTCGGGTTCTGTTTATCTGACGTGTATTTCTTATCATTTAAAATGGCACATTCAAATCATATTTGTATAATAGGTGGTGGTATTATTGGTGCTTCAATCGGTTTTCATTTATCAGAAGCTGGTTGTTCAAATATAACTATAGTTGAACGAACAAATATTGCTTGTGGTGCTAGTGGACGTGCTGGAGGATTTCTTGCAAAAAATTGGCGTTCAGGTGTTGAAGGAAAATTTTCTGAATCAAGTTTTTTAGCTCATAGTGAGCTTTCTAAACGTTTAAAAAATGAATTTTCTACTGATGTTATGTATCGTCGTTTAACGACATACAATATATCAGTCAATGAAACTCATGGTAAAACAAAAACAAATAAACAAACTGATGATGATAAATCATTACCAAAATGGATAACGGCTGATGTTCATGAAAAAGAAATATTAGGAAATGAAGATACAACAGCACAAGTTCATCCAGGGTAAGTTTTTTTAATAAATAAAATATTTTTTGATGCATATCTATGTATTTTTTTAGATTGTTAACAAATGCTTTAGTAAAAATAATTGAAAATCGAGGTGGACGTGTTATTATTGGTAAAGCAAATGGATTTCTTTTTGAAACTATAACAACTCATACAGCAAAAGATGAACATCATCAAACATCACCTGTTCGTGCTATTAAATTATTAGTTGAAAATCAAGAACCTATTGAAGCTGATATATTTATACTTGCTATGGGACCATGGACATGTAAGTAAATATTATTTCATATTCAATATTTTCCATTTTTTTAAATCATATAGATCAAGCAGCACCTTGGTTTCGAGATGCTATGATATTTAAAGAAAATATTTCTCATGAATTAGATGCTATCAGTGGAGTTAAAGCACATAGTATCGTATTTAAAGGTAATCAACCAACAGAACCTTATGCATTTTTTCTTGCCTATCAATCAAGTGATGGTAATGTATTAGATCCTGAAATTTATCCACGACCAAGTTTGTCTTTGTTCTTTTTACTCTATTAAATTGAAAGAAATAATATAAATTTATTTAGATGGTGATATTTATGTATGTGGGTTTTCAGAACAGCATACACAAAATTTATCTGATAGTGGTAATTCAGTATCAATTGATGAGAATAGTTGTGAACGTCTTCGTCAAATTGCTGTTCATGTAGCATCAACATTAAAAGATTCAAATGTAGAAATAAAACAAGCTTGTTATTTACCACAATCAAATGATGGCATACCAATAATTGGACGACTTCATGGATTAAATAATGTTTATGTTGCAGCAGTAAATAATTAAATTATTATTTATTGAAGACTTAGATCTAATTGACTTCTTTCTACGTTTTAGGGTCATAGTTGTTGGGGAATTTTAAATAGTTTAGCTACGGGTGCACAATTAACTCAATTGATTTTAAAAGGTGAAATTTCACCATATTTAAAACAGTGTGATCCAGTACGATTTTTTCGACGTACAACTCATTAATAGATAAAAAACATTAGTAATTTGTATTACTCTTGTATTCAAACTATTACTTGTGTTAAATAAATTTAATTCTATTAGACATGCAAAATGTGACAACCCGATAAGATAATATTCACTTTTTTTTTTCTCACGGTTGCATTCAATGAATCATGAACAAGTCAAAAAATTTCATAGAAATGTTGTGACATTGTTTTGTTTGGTTAAGTCGTCCTGTTCCTTCCATAAAAGCCCATTTTTTATCAGAAAAATCGAAATTGAAATAAGTGCATGAAAAAATAACCCGAAGTCTGAGCTTTCATAGATGAAATGACTTGTTTTTTTTATTAGACACCTCGTTTTTGATGAAAATATATGATGCTTTTCATGACCTTCCGCTTGAAAAATATGCTTTCTACATCAAAAGAAGGAAATCTTTTCGCTCTTTATGCTTTTTTCTATGATCACGCAATCCAGAATTCTCTGTGGATCTGCATTGCATATATAGAATTTTTTTTGTTCGAAAGAGCACATCAAGATGTAGGTCATGATAAAATTTTTGTTCCAGTTAATCTTTTGTCATTATTATGTAAAAGAGTACTTTTAGGTTTTTTCGAAACATTGAGTTTTTTTGCCTTAAAACTTGAGAATTTAAAAAATGGCTCTGCCATGATTTTTCAAACAAAAAAAAACCAAAATCCATAGAGAATTTTGAGTTCCCGAATGAGCTACTTTTTGACCTTTGTTTGTTGAATACTGTCAGAAAACATCATGATGTAAGGCTGAATATTTTACCATTAGCTTCTCCACTACAACTTCAATATATTCTAAGAATTTCATGCGATTTGAATTTACTTAGCACAAGATTGATTTTTTGAGGGATCTCTTAAAAGTACTCATATTATTTTATTGATATTAAATTATTTATTATGTAACAGAACAAAATAATAGTAAAATATAACGAAAATTTATACAAATTCATAAATGATTTATCATAATATATAACTCTAATTTATTTTTTTCTTATAAAATTTTGAACGTAAAAAGTATGGATGAGTAAATATAAACAGATTTGTTTTTATTTCCAGTATTTTCTGACATGTGGCTTTTACCAATTACATAGTAAATATGTATACTAGATGTTTCATTGTTCTTTCTAATTAATAGTCAGACAATAACACTTTTCCTTTTTTTTTCAATAAATACGGAATAATTAATTTATAAAATAGAAAATTTACATCCTTATATTCGGTTCGAGGTGATAAGAATGTTTCTATTGATATAAAAATGTGTGGAAATCTTACATAAAATAAGTTGACGCTAGTAGCAAATTATTATTATAAATTTTAATGTATGACACTCTTGCGTGCGTCATATATGTTTAACAGTGTCATTATATTTAAAATAATTTTTGTTTAATCTACTTATCGTATGTCTGCAGTGAAGATTTGATAGGTTCAATGCTGATGTACGTTACACATAATGAACAATAAAAACTTAAGTCATCTTGAAAAAAAATCATCAATTAAGTATATAAATTGATAATGCATAGCGTGGAATGTTGGAAATATCGCTTAATATAAGTAGAAGTCAAGTTGCTAACAATATAAAAGTGTGTTCTATACGAAAATTTATTGTACTATTTATATCACATATTGCACATATGTTGAAATTGTTTTGTAAAAATATTGATCACATGAATAAAGTTCTTCATCAACAATATTGGAGCCTTTTTCGATATTGTTAATGATAAATATTACATTGAAAATACCAAAGTTCAAATACTTTATCAATACTCAATTTCAAATCGTTAGCTTTATTCTTACTTTCTGTTAATGACTATGGGTCAAGTAGTTTCATCTAACTTGATGAAAAAGCTAGTTTTTATTGCTCAATAAACAATTTTATTCATTATACAAAAAAATTTAATAATGCATGGATCTATGCTATTCATAAAAACACTCGAGAGCATACTTCCAAAACTAAAAAGTTAATCTTCAAAAATGCTAGAATTTCTATTGTATTTGATCAATAATACAATTTTATCTATTCATTTTGACGTCGAAAATAACTATTTCACTTCAATAAAGCAACTTTCTTTAGTATAAATATAGATCTAAATTGTTAAGGAAATAAAGTTTATACAATGTTTTATTTCATCGCCATAGTCCATTGACAATCTCTTAAGCATAATATAGAACGTGTAAAGAATATAAATCTAAACATAATAATAGATTAATTCAATATATGCTAAAAGCAAAATGCAGCACTTCTGTACTGACAATTGTCAAAATAAACTATAAACCCAAGTGGATAGGAAAAATGTTTTTTTTTTGAGTGTTCACGCTAAGAAAATCCAATTATTAGTACTGTCAAAACTGTTCTGCTATTTAATTAAACTTATTTACGCCTACGACCTTAAACATTCATAAATTCAATGCAACAATCATTAACCTTTCATATTTATTTCTTTTTCCTTGAACGAATTCTTAAGTTTTTTCAAAAACATTATACAGATCTAACTGAGAAAATACTATGAACATGTTAAGTGTTAATTAAAGCTAGGTCAACAATATCTGTTGAATTATAAACAAGATTTTGTGCGTAGCTTTCGTCTTTTAAACAACATGCTATACTTATTACTAATAGCACTTGAGAGCTCCCGAGGTTCTCTATATATAACTGCGTCATTGGCACTTAACTGATCTATACCTTTGATGAACGCATAAACATGTTTTCTATTTCTTATCTAAGATTTCCGTTTCTGTTCTATAGTATGATTATTCTTATTTTAAAGAAAAAGAAAACTTAAATGAATATTGACAGATATATAAATGAATTTGAAAACAACATCGACATGAAAGATGATTGATATAGAAAATTAGAACAAAAAAAAAATGGGAAAAACAAAAGAATAACCTTGGGAATCTCTCAACTCATTCTCAATTTCTTTATAAATATACATATATTAATTTCCTTATCATAAAACATTCTAGCTAACGCTTCCAAAAAGGCAATGAACTGAATAGCACATCGAATGATGTGGTGTTAAAGAATATAATAAGTTCGATATTTTTTTTTCTCTCTCTTATCATTGTTGACAATAAAACAAAACAAGAAATGCAATATATAACAAATTACCAACAAAAGAATCACTTCAATTTATAGCGGAAATTTCGATATTGAAAAGAAAAATAAACAATTGGAATGTTTTATACAAAACAAAATGATTAAGTAGCTTTCTTCTAATCTATAAAAATATTATTTCATAACTGTTAATATATATATATATATATATATTTTTTTAACTAAGTTTTTTTTTACGCATTTTATCATTCATCAAATATAGAAACTGTCAACACTATCTGGGTGCTGCTTCCCTTTTTTTGATCCATACGATAATGAGTTTCCGGTGTTCTGCCTTCTCCTCGTCTTCTTGACGAACATCTTTTTTCTGCGCCTTCTTCTGTTTCTTTTTCTTTTCCGTTTTTTTTTTTTTGTTTCCGCTATCTATACGCATTTACATCTCTTTGATAGGCAGTATAATTTACATTTTTTTGAGCGAAAGAAAGAGTGAGAAAATATTATAAATACAAAATAAAATGGGATAGTATTCATATTGCTTATCGATTGATGATATTCGTATACCTCGATTGAACTTTTCCAAGCAAAATCTGTATGAATTGTACCTGTTTGTCATATTATTTTAAAATTTTTCTATTTGCTAATAGATAATTTTGAATGTTATTCCAAGTGTTAATACGCAAACATCATTAAAAAATTTCTGTTTTTTTCTTCGCTTAAATTTATAATATGGTTGATAAAAATTATGTTGTTTCACTACTCGGCTGTGCCAATCTCATCGAATTGGTTAGTGTGTAACAAATAGACTATTCTCTGGTCTATATATATACAGGAATTGAATTTAATCCTAATATGTTTATTATGAATAGACGTTGCTTGCCGGTGGTTTTATCGCCGTGTGTTTGACATCAACTGGTTATGCTCAACTTGTTGATTCTTATGCTAACATCATTAGATATAATATAACTCAGACAGTAAGTATATAGAAGAAAATTCGATGAAAAGGTTTGACTGATATGCACATTCTTCTATGTCAATCATATCATTTATCGTTTTTCAGCATGACACTGATTCAACGGCATTTTATGATATCGATGTTTATACAATCAAACAAGCCGATCAAGCTATTTTAATAATCATATTTGGTTTAACATTATTTTCATTTCTTGCTCATATTATATTTAGCTTTCGTTATCGATATTCATGGCATCGCTTATCGATTGGCGTAAAAAATTCAATTAGTTTTTATCTCTTATTAAAAGACCTTTGTCATTTTTAGGTAGCTTTCTTATGTATTATCTATGCATTTACTTTATTTGGCGTATCAGTTGTTGTTGCTGTGAGTAGAAAAAAAAGAAGAGAAACCAAAATAGAAATTTTATATTCTTTTTTTTCTCGTTTTTGATTATCCAGTGTTGGGAAGATAAACTGAGAAAACGACTAACACGTACATATTTAAATAATCAAATTATTCTTACACCAAATGGTACTGTTAGACCGCAAACTGGTTCAGCAGCCGCTGCAGCTGTAAGTATTTTCTTATAAAAATTAAACTAAATTTATTCTTATGGAAATTTTGTTTTTAGACATTTGGTTTTGCTTCATGTCTTATATATCTTGCTGAAGCATTGATAAGATTTCGACGTTTAGCCGATAAGATCCAAGCGTAATCTTTGCGATTCTAATCTAATCTTATATTTTACGATATTGTTGTTTTCTCTCTATGATTTTCTCAACTCAATGTATCAGTAAATAAAACAAAAAAAAAAAACAGATTTTCTTGTAAACTTGAAAATACAGAATCATGTCAAAATAATAGAAACAACTTATTAACGACCATATTGCATGAAAATAAATCTTGTTCGCCAACATTCTTACAAAATTGTATCTTTTATGGAAATGTATACCATCTGTAACTTAATCTTAATTGACCTGATGAAAGTTATGTCAATATACAAATGTATCGAAATCAATGTCAAAATTTTTTTCTATGAAGATTTACAAGAAAAATATTGAAAACAAAAGTACAGATCAATGCCTAGAAATTCAGATAAGAATACAAAAAATAGTAGCACTAGTGTTTTTTTATATAATTCGAATACAAAATGACATTAAATTTAGATGTCACTAGTTTAAATCTATATACTATTGATGATTTATGATAACCAATAACAATTTATAATTTCTTTCTTTCTTTCTTTCTTTCGTTCATGATTATTTGTTTATTATATTTTATTTAGATGAGTTTAGTGACAGATGAACATAATGTAGACAATATGTCTACTTATGAAGTTCTAGATGATTACTCATCAAATAAAAATCAAATAAAAACAATTAATAATTATAAAAATACAATGAACAATTATTCAAATACTAATATTAATATTTTAATTGATCGTCTTATGTCTGTAATTAATGAACATCTTGATAATGCTGAACAATATAAAAATACATTTCATAAAAATTCTATGCAATCTGCTTTATATCAAGTTTTATGTGAAGTTAAAAATAAAATAGGTATAATGAAAATTCTTCATCGAACAATTTTGTTTTTTTATTTTCGAATCAAGAAAAAAAAAAAAAAACATCTATTCATATGCAAAATAAATTTAAATATTACAAAAATAGTTATTCGATGAAGAGAAAAACAAAATTTTTTTATTTTTGAAAATTTTCATTTTTTTGTTTTTCTATAGCACTTAATAATCAACAAATGTCAAATATTGAGGATCAAACATCTGAACAATTAATACGTATTGATAATATGCTTATTGCTGAAGGAATATCTGAACGATGTTCATCAAAATATTTATCTTTTACAAAAAATTTTGATCAAAATTGTTCATTTGATTATTCAGATTATCAAACAAAATTAGATCAAATACGACAAATTTATAATTTTGAATTAGAAAAATATGAAAATCATTGTAATAATTTTTGTTTACATGTTAAAACACTTTTACATGAACAATCACAAATACGACCAATAAGTGAATATGAAATTGAACATATGATTAAAATTATAAGAAAAAAATTTTCAATTATACAATTACAACTTAAACAAAATACATGTGAAGCTGTTATGATTTTACGTTCGAGATCACTTGATGCAAGGTTTTTAAAAAAAAAAAAACAAAAAATTTGTTTTTTTGGAAATTTATTGTTTATATATATTTATTTTATAGAAGAAAACGACGAAATTTTAGTAAATTAGCTATTGAAGTACTTAATGAATATTTTTATTCACATTTATCAAATCCATATCCATCTGATGAAATAAAAGAAGAATTAGCACGTCAATGTGGAATATCAGTAGCACAAGTAATTCATTGTTTAGATAGATTATTTTTAAATAGAAACCGATTAGTAATTTGGCAATTGATCGACAAGAAGAATGAGTTTATAATAAGATTTATTTATATATTGTACAAGTATAGAAGTTAGTCAATTATGTAATCAAAATCATGATTTATGTCTAGAAAGATAAATAAATTGAATAACAATAGTGTAAAAGAAGAATTGAGTTCTGTTTTTTTTTGTAAGAAATCATTCTGCAAAAACGAGTATCATTTCCATTCCATTTGACGAAATTTAAACGGCAAATTATAGAATATGTATAACATATTGGCTTAAATTACGAATGACTTTGGATGTTTATTGTATCAAAGTTTTGAGAAACTGAAAACTGATTAATTGAGTTATTGAACATTCTGATTTCTCTGAAAATTTGGAAAATACGTGCAACTTGCTTCACATATTAATCAAATAAAATCACATCTACAGCAAACGATATTTTTATCGGCTATTAATTTTATAGAACAACATTTACTTGATTTTAGGTTAGTAATTGGTTTGGCAATAAACGTATTCGATATAAAAAAAATATACCTAAAACTCAAGAAGAAGCAAACAGTTATGCAGCTAAAATAGCTTCACAAGCTGCTTGTCATAATCGTGATAGTTTATTAAATGGTATAACTTATTCTACTCTTTTCTATTCTTAATCATTCATTTTTTTTTGTTCTTAATTTGTAGATTATTAAAATCTATTTTTTCATTATTTTATTATCCACAAAATTTTGGATCAATTGTTATTTTGCATGTTTTCTTCATTGTATGATCCATATTTATTGTTTTGTATTATTTTCAAATATTTTATTCGTTGTACTAGAAATATAAAAATACATATTTATAAATAAAAATTTTTTTTTTTTTAATATTTGTTAAATATACATAGAAAAACAAAGTACTTGTTTTTAGATGAGTACAGAAGATCAATTATCGTCTTCTTATCATATTTTGACGCCACTTGAAAATGCTTTTTATACAAATATGAATAATCAAGAACAACCACATATGATTAATAGAATTATGTCAATCATAAATGATCGTTTAGATGATGCTCAACAATATAAAGAAGCATTTAATCGAAATCCAATGCAACCAATATTATTTGATATACTTCGAGAAATTAAACAAAAAAATGGTAAGTACAAAAATAAACATAATTGATCTCTTCTTAACAATTTATGAAGATGTTATATAATTCGATTCGAGTCTCTATCGATTATTCAAAGTATAAACCAAACCCCAATAGAACTGATTTTAATCGATGTAAATTATGATATAAATATTGCTTTGTTCTTAATGTACTTAAATGATGAGAACTTTTGCATAAGTATCGATGTCGTTATTAGGTCTTTACTGATCATATAACGATGATAACTTTTGATATAATTCAGATGTAGGTAGATAATTGATTCATTTAACAGAATACAAATTGATATTTACATTTTGTCAAGATGAATCAATTCTCAGAATAATCATATTCTTTCTTGACGAGTAGGATATTAGAGTTTCTCAATTTTTTGAAAGAAAGTATCGAAATGCAAAGATATAATTTTATCGACTGATCTCAAAGTTGTTATTTATTTGTCTTGTAAATATATGAGAAATAAATGAAATCACTTGAGGTTATGATATGGGTAAAGTCTAGTTGACAATATTTAACCTAAGAATATATTCTCCTACATTTTTATTATTATATTTTCACATGGTGATAACTAACATTAACCAAAGAAGATGTAGTAGAATCGATGATCCTTGATTTCTCTCTCTTATCTTTCCATATTGAGCATTCATTTTCAATGAATTACTCGAATCATGTACTAGTTAACCGATCGTATTTTGTGTAAATAGTCAGAAGATATTCTAGAGTATCTGATAAAATTTTAAAGTGATAATAATATCCCTCGGCTGAATTTCGATAGAAGGTATCAAGTTTCTGAAGTAACGTCCGATCGTAAAATAGCTCTATTTCAAGAACTATTAAGAGCTAATACTTCAATATTATATTTGTAGATAGAAGAGAGTCAGGGCTATATTTTCATCAAAAGAAAGTCTTCATTTCTCTTGAGACTAGAATTATTAGCATTTTATGGTAAAAAGAAGTCTAAACTTGTTGATAACAATGATCAAACAATTTTGGCAGTGTCTAGCACTGGCACGCACAGAGTTAAAATGTGTATACAAATCAGCATCTAACATAGTAATACGTGAGACCCGATAGCGTCTTTTTATTAGTGACTCCGGCTTAGATTCAAAATTTATTGACATTTAATCTACAAAAAAATCATCAAAAAGTTTAAGAACAATTTTTAGTTCCAATTCAAAGAGCTTTTCCTCTCTTATTTCAGAATCAATTATGGCTACTGAGAAATGTCTAAAATCAAGTCCGTACATGTCTTATTTAATATGCAAAACTCTCCTATTGTTTATCAAATATTAGAGATATATGTATTTGCATGTTCCAGTTATAACATATTTCTATTATAAAAGATTTGTTCAGAAGAAATTATGTAAGAATTTTTTCCTTTTTTTTAATTAGGACTTAATATGCGTCAAATATCCAACGATGATGATTCATACAAACAAGAATTAGCTCGTCTTGATACGATGCTTTTAGCTGAACGTATTATAGATCGATATCCAAATGAGGTATCAACTAATAATTCAATTGAAATTGAACATCCTGAATATGAAGAAAAATTAAATCGTATTCGTCATTTTTATCATACTGAATTAGCAAAATTTGACAAAAATTCGAATGATTTTTGTACACATGTTTTAACATTACTTCATGAACAATCACAAATACGACCAATAACATCAGAAGAAATTTCACATATGATTTCAATTGTACGAAAAAAATTATGTTTAATACAAATTCAATTAAAACAAAATACTTGTGAAGCTGTTATGAATTTACGTACACGTTTTCTTGATGCAAGGTATTAGAAAAGAATAATAATAATAATAAACCGAAATTTTCTATTTTCTTTTTTTCAGACGTAAACGACGAAATTTCGATAAAACAACACAAAAAATTTTAAATGAATATTTTTATTCACATTTATCAAATCCTTATCCATCGGAACAAGTTAAAGAAGAATTAGCACGTAAATGTGGTGTTACTATTTCTCAAGTAAAATTTTCTTCGTATAAAAATCGATATGTTTTTTTTTTTTTTCTAGGTAAACAATTGGTTTGGAAATAAACGTGGTCGTTATAAGAAGAATATGCTTAAAAATGAATAATGACTAAATAATTTGTAAATAATTCATATTCAATTGATGTATTCTATTGTTGTGTTTTCTTTTTCTTTTCTTTTTTTTTTTTTTTTTTTTGTATAATCATTTTATGTTTTTGAATAAAGTTGTCTGGAAATAATCTGATGAAAATATATTATAAGAAATTTTCTAGTAAATAAACACTACTCAATATATCTTAAAAAGTTTTAGATAACTTATCAATACAATCTATTCAGTGTTAGAATGTGAAATTTGTGCGTTCTTTAATTTCGTTAGGCTAAAACAAAATACGTTTAGTACACTATCTCTGGTAGACTATAGCTGTTTTCTGAAGACAATCGGTTGTCAGAGAAACGTCTGTCTTGTATTTCGAAAAGCAATTTGTTTTTCTTTTCTTTGTTGCTAGTTTTTCTTAATTTAACACTATTATTATTCTAAACATTGGTAAATAAGCCCGCTGTACATATATATTGTATCTACAATACATCTCAACGCACTATTTTTTATTTGGATAACCTGAGAAAGAGTGATATTTGATTATTTTTCAAGGTTATAATTTGATCAAGTCACGCATTTTGATATTAATCATATGACAACTGCGTCGAATATATGCATGGTTATCTATTATCCTTGACATTTTAATTAAAAATTTTTGTCTGCACGAAAAATCAAAAACTGCATTAAATAAAACAATCACAAGCGTATTCCAGTCAGTGAAATCTCCAGCAAACATTTGGAATATTCTGTACCAGTTGAAGTCTTGCTGTTAATATCGTTCAGTGCCTTTTTTTCGTTGTTAAAGAGCTCTGAAAAAAATATCTGCGGTCTATTGCCTTCGTTTAATAAATACAAAAAATTCCAAATTTAACTTACAGTTACTATTTTCTTTGAAATATGAATGAATTTTACAAAAACATCTGATGAAATTTTATATAAAATCATCAATTTTTTGTTCACCATTTTTGCAATAATTATGACTAATACCCACATTAGAATTAAAGTAGGGTGTGTGTAAGCTCAATAATTCGACAATGATAATAGCTAGCAATCTGCGAGTTTTAGCAATCAAAAAAGGAGAACACCGGATCTTTTTATTTGTCTGATACTGAAAAAAATAAAACTTTTGTAAAATTCATCTTTTTTTGCAAAACATTTTAAAAATGCATGAAAACAATGTTCTGTTTCAAGAAACTTTCGATAAAAAGTTAACAAACTTGCCAAAAATCAACAGCAATTACTACATGGTCCAATTAAAACGATGGTATGTTTATATTGTCTATTTTACTTTACTAATTATTATAGTTTTCATTATTTGGTAAAAGCCTAGAGAAGTGTTTTTTAAAACTAGTTCGAGTGTCTAAAATAGCTTTGGGATGTAATGTTTTATATAAAGAAGAATTCATGGATTAGCGATTTTTAACTACTTATTTGAACCAATCTAATGCTCAAAGACAATGAACCAACAAAATTATCTTACAGAAACTGTCAAGTCTAGTTTATTTAAAATGAATTCGTCTAAAAATTTGATTAAAAATCACTAATTCATGAATTTTCGTTATACGAAACATGACATCCGAGAGCTCTTTTAGAAATTTGTACTAATTTTTAAAAATATTTTTCTAGGCTCTTATCAAATAATGAAAGCTATAGTAGTTAACTGGTGTATTCCATTTTGTAGAGTATTTTGTAGTGCATCATTTGATCAAAGAAAATAGAAGGAGAAATGACTGAGAGGGTAAAGTGAAATACTGAAAGTTAAGACACAGTCATTGATTCTGAAACGCCGAGTATATATATACTTGGGCAGAATGAATACTCAATCTTGTTTGCTCAATATTGAATTATGAGAATATGATCGCTTGAATTATTCCTTGGACTATAGATTTAAATTCTGTCTGTCTAAAGCACGTCATAAAATACAGTTTTCATGCATTTTACGAAAATAATAACCTTTATAATAATTTTGTCTTATATAGGTATCAGACAAAAAATACATTCCGAGGTCTCATTTTTGTTTTTGATAGGTGAAAACCATATGTAGCTAGCTATTGCTGTTGTCGAGTTATTGCGTTTATAAGCACCCTTCGTAAGTTCTCATGCTGACATTAGATCATTGATTGAAAAATGAGATTGATTTTTCTGTTTACTTTCTTTTTACGCATATGTTTGAGGCAAGAGCAATATGCAAAACACTTTCTTTACTTTATATAGAATTGAAAAGAAACACACCCTTGACAATTTTGTAAAGTAAACTTTAATGGAGATTCATTTTTTTTTTGTGTGATTTATTTATTCTAGTTATTACAGTTATATGTAATTCTTATTGTTCGAGTTTTTGTATTTGGATCAAGTGGTAATATTTCACCATGTTGAAATATACAATGACGCAGATTATTATTAGATGAGTTTAAAGAAGCTTCAGTTAGTTCTTGATTGATTATTTTATGTGTTCTTGAATCATCAAATTCATCGATATTATCTTTATACGTATCATTTGCTACATCAGAACTAAACAAGATAAATTATTTTCTTTTAGATAAAAAAAAAAAAAAGATTTGAAAAAAAACACTCTAACCGATCAATACATCGTGGTGTTTTTGGTACACGAATTGAACTATAACTAATTAGTGAACGATGAGTTGATTGTAGTTGAACTGTATGTTTATCATCATTACGTAATCGTTTACGTGAAGAACATAAAATTTCAATATCTCGTTTACATACATCTATATTTTCTAGTCCATATTTAACTAATTCTTCAAGTTTAATAGCTGCCTTAAAAAAAAAAGAAGATTATTTTATTAATTGTCATAATATGATTATGAAAATCTCACTTGTGGGCGAATATCATTACAAGTTATATTAAGATGTTTGTCTTTAAGAAATTTATCAATACGTTTTTCGTATAACAACCACATCTTCAATAATGAGAATTTAAGAATCAAGTTACTTTTGTTGTTTTAGATAAATTCTTTGAAGACTATCGTACAAGAATCAGTATGCTTTTATAGAGTTTCCTAATTTTTACATCACTCACGAGTACAAGAGAAATATCGAAAAGTAACAAAGTGGTTTTGTTGGCTGTTTTCAAATATGATATCACTTTTTGCTTGCAAATAAATAGGAAGTAAGAAAAAGATGTTTTCAAGTTCGACCCAGTATGAAGTCTTGTTGACAATATTTAACCTGTAGATATTTTGTTCTTATATTTCATTTATTATATTTTTACGTGATTATGACTGTCATAAACCACAGAACATGTGGTAGAATGGGAAATCCTTGATTTCTCACTCTTGTCTTTCAATAATTGAATGTTCATTGTCAATGAAGTCCTCGAATCATATATGAATTAACCTTTATACTTTGTGTAAATAATCGAAAGGCATTTTAGGGTATCTCGGGCAATTTTTATGTGAAAATAATATGCTTTCGGTGAGTTTTGAATTATTTTTTTATAAGAAAGCAACAAACTTGAAAATTAATGCCTATTCGCAAAAAAAAAGTTCTATTTCAGAAGTTATTAATAATTAACACTTCAATCTCGTATTGTTGATAACGAAGAGTCAGGACTATAATTTAGTAAAACAAAGAAAAGTCTTCATATCTCTTGAGTCAAGAATGATTAGCATTATATGGTATAGGAAATAAAAATATTTATATATCACGAACCATCTAGGAAAAAGAGACTGAAACCTGTTGAGAGATGAGCAGTTGCTCTTAACAATAATTACACATCTTCAAAAGTCTCTAGCTATCATGATCGACTAAGGACACTCAAAAGGTTAATCAAATCGTTTACCTTTTCTATTTTTTCTATTAAATAATTAGAAATATATTTAGAAAAAATAGCATCTTTTAAACAACATGTTAATTGATTTATATCTTGTAATGAATTTCGATCTTGATTGTATTCACTATCATTAAGATTTAATTCGGATTTTTTTATTAATTTTGTATTAGATGTTTGCATCGAATAAGGTTACATAAAAAAAATTATTAAATAAAATAAATTCTTTATTCAAAAAAATCGTAACTAAGACAAAAAGAACAACATTTCATTCATTAGAATTTTTATAATTTAAAACAATCTAGATAGTCATTATGTCAACATTCTCGTTTGTAACAACTACAAACAAGCAAAAAAAAGAATAGATTGTTATAATCCTTGCGTGACAATCATTTATCCTTGGTCTTTTTTGGCACGTTTTCATTAATGCTTTATCTTTCTTTCTGTACAATTAAGTAAATATTTATCTTATCTATCATTATATCTATTAGCAGGAACATATTTTTCAACAAACATGTGCAAAACTAATCTTCTTTATTAAACAGAGTTTTCAACATGCCTTGATTTCTAAAACACAAAAACAACCAACAATTAGTCTTTTTTAATAATAAATGATCTTTGCGTTTGCGTGTGTGTGTGTGTGTTTGGATTTGAAAGAAAGGCAATTTTATCTGATCTTCTATATAATGAAGTATATTATAATGAGTATAAGAATTTCTTTGTTTCATTCAAACAAAATACTTTTCAAAAAGAGAATGAGAGAAAAAAAAAGAAAACAAAACAGACCAACACAACAAACTAGCACAACAAGTACAAGAGAGAGAAAAAAACAAAAGAGAAAATGATATCGTTTGTACATTTTATAAACAAAATATGACAAGGAGAAAAACGGCGAAAAGCACCGAGTACAAAAGGATAAGTGTGTCTTTTTGTTAATGTGTTTTAATAATAAACGGAAGAAGCAAACTAATCTACATAATGAATAATAGAAATGATTAGATAATAGATATCTTTTGAAATTTCTTTTTTCTTTAAATCTTGAGACAAGTTTGTTTTCTATTGTGTTTCACTGTCGGAATATACCATATAGGTAATTATTTAGAATCGTCTAAAAAAAAAATAAATTTCTTTAACAAGATCAAATTTCAATAGGAAAAAAAAGGTATTTTTTTTGTTCTATTTACTGAAGTAATTGATCAGGTTAATGATGAAATGGAAATCGAAGTTGTTGTTGTCTTTCAACATCTAAGTTGAAACGACGAAATTCATTTTCATTATGTTCACGGATTGATCGTTCTCGTGCATTTAATCGAGAGAGATCTTCATGACGTGGCATCTATAATTAAATAAGATAATTATCCTCTTTTTTTTTTCTTTCTTTTCATTAAATAAAGAATAATAATTATACCTGAAGTGGATTACCAGCAAGTGCAAATGCCATTGGATCAAGTCGTGCACCATTAGCTATCATAAATGCCATTAAGTCACGTTCACGTGATAGATTATGCATTGCTTCAAGACTTGACAATGATGATGGAGGTGGTGGACCAGCTGGATGTAATAATGGTCCACCATGAGATAGACCTATTATTATATAAACATAATAATTAAATTTATTAGAAAAGAAGAAAAAAAAAAAGAAAAATTTACTGGAAAGAGGATTACCAAATGGCATCATTGATGGTGGCGGCGGTGGTGGTATTGTAGGTCCATTTGAATTGTTTGATGATGATGATGAATCATTGGTGTTACCCAAATGAAGATGTGTATGTGAATGAGAATGAATATGAGAATGGTTATGTGTGCTATTTGAAACAGAGTTAGAGGATGCTGATGTATTATTTGATGGTGACGGCAATACAGCTGATGAAGGAGATGGAGTACCAAATGGTGAAATCATACTACGGTAACGAGGATCAAGTAAAAAAGCAGTAGGATCAAAACCACCAGGATTTGGACGTCCGACATTAGAATTATAATGTGTTTGAGCAGCAAATAATTGAGCAGCGGCTGCAGCTGCTGCAGGATTCATTAAACGAAAACCTAATGGATCAAGATGACGTAATGCAGCAGCATTATCATGTAATGATGGACCGAATGGTGAAGGAAAATTTAATGGTGGTGGTCCAGTCGTACCAGTTCCAGGTGGTTTTGGTCCAGTGGGTAGTGCATGTAATGGTAATGGATGAAATAAACTATTACGATTCATTAATAATGCATCATGATGAGGATTAAGTGTTGGAAATGGTGGTGGTGGACCAGGTGTATGAAGTAATGGCGGTCCTTTATCCAACGAAAAGGATAATTTCTAAAAAGAAATTTAAAAAATGATAATAAAGAGTTTGTCTTTTTTTTCTTTTCTTGTATAGACATACAGATAAATTCCCAACTTCTTGTTTAACTCCCATCATCATAGCTGCAGATGGTGGTACTGATGGCAATGAAGACATTGGTGGCATTTCTTGCTGTTGTTGTTGTTGTTGTTGTTGTTGTTGTTCATTATTATTTGATGATGCTTGTTGTTGTTGCTGTTTCTGACGTATACGTGAACCACGTTTAAGTATTATATCGGTACGTGCACAAGAATTTTGTGATACTGAACGATCGTAAACTTGTAATAAAACAATTCCTTGAGATTTATTATAGCATTCTACAAATAAGAAATAGACGTTTTTTTGTAAATATTTTCTTTGTAAAAGAATTTGTTTTTTTTTTAACCTCTTTCACATGTTAACGGTGCTGGTCCTTCATCAGCAATGATTTCATGATTACCACTCATTGAACTATCTGATATATTTCCATCATCAGTAATATCGTTTGTTAATGAATCATTATCTTTTGATTCATTTAATGATGATTGAATAAGAAGTGGTGGTGGTGGTGGTACTGATGTTGGTGGTGGTAAACAAAGAGATGATGGAGTTACATCACCACTAAGAATTGTTGGATGTATTGGAGTTGATTTTGGTGTATGATTAAGACTATTTGAATGTGACTGTGATCGATATGATAATGGAGAATCCAATTCTTCATCTATAATAGTAAATATGAAAAAAGATTTTGTTTTTTTTTTTCATTTAATTCAATAAAAAATCATGTATTTTATATACCTTTCGGTATTCGACGTTGATCAGGACTATGAATAGATGATGTTTTTGATGTACGTGAAAATGCTGAACGAGGTGAAGATAATAATGATGATTGTAATAAATTCGAATGAAATGTTGATGAATTTTCATTTATATTTATTGGTTCAGATTTAATTGTTGATGATGGAGATAAAATAAAATTTGAATTTGTTTGTTTTGTATGATCAATAAGAATTTTATTTGTTATTTTTGCAGCACCAGTTGATAAAATTGACGATGGAGAATTTATTTCTTGTTTACATGCTGTCGGATTAGTTATTAATGGTGGTAATGGTTGAGATAGAGTTGATGATGATAATTCTTCAGTTTTAATTAGAAAACCTGATGATGTTGTCGTAGGTATCGTATCTGAAGATTCTAAAAGTTAAAAACAAAAATAACATTTATCAATGTACACTCTTGATAAAACTACTGACACAGTGAATCGGTGTTCACTAAAGTATTGACTTACTCTAAAATTTTCTGCTATGGAATCTAAAAAAATTGTTCGTATGAATGCAAACTTGGAACCTTTTTTGGTTTCACATCAAACCCAAAAAAGTTCCGTAAGAAAAGCATAAAATATTTTGAAAGATCTATGCTATGAAGAACATGTTGCGCTTTTTTTACGAAGCCCCCCCCCCCCAAAAAAAATGGTTCCAAATTTGTATCCGTAGGAAGAACTTCTTGACGATCTTTCAAAAAATTCATTTATTGCAGAAAGAATATATTAGATAAATCAGAAAACATCGATCCAATGTAGTTAGCCTGAGTTTTCGATGAACAATTTATTGAAACTACACATTGCTAATAACATTTATATGAAAATTTTTTGTCTTGATTTACAAAAAGAGATAATATGCATATATATACCTATTAAGGGTTTTTCATTTTCTTGTTCTTCTATTTTAATTCCAGTATTTATTGTTGGTTCATCTTTTATATTTTCTTCTTCTTCTCCTGTTTCTTGTTTTATTGATGATATTTGTTCATTAATACGAGTTTTCTTTTTTGAACGTGTCGATGATGTTTTTATTGATGAATTATTTTCATCAGATTTTTCAACTGTTGATGTTGATGTCGATGATGGAGGTAATGAGGATGATGATGATGATGATGATGATGGTAGTTGTGGTGGTGGTGGTGGTGGTGATGATGATTGTTTAAATTTATTACGTTTTCTTTTACTACTACTACTTGGACTTGTTTCATTTAATGGTTTAAATAAATATGGTGGTGGTTCTTGATTTATAATAGGCATTTCACCATATTTTTTATAATACATTCTACAATCATAACATAATTGTTGACTATCACGTCCACCTGGTTGTAAATCTTTTGATATTGTTTGACAATGACGACAAAATTGTTCATCTGTATCTGTTGTTGTTGTATTATCATCATTATCAGAATTATGTTCGGATTCATCTTTATTATTTGTTTTTGTATTACGTTGTTTAGCTGGTGTTGGTGTTGTTGATAAATTAGCTGATGTTGAACATGGACGTTGTCGACGACGTGGACGACTTGATTGTGCTTGAGGAGTTTTTTTCCATAAATAATAAAATTCTACTAAATCAGAAGTTTCTTTATGTGGTAAATGTTCTTTACGTATACGATAAAAATTTTTTCCATATTGTCTTAAACCTTTAATAAATTTTTTTTGATCATCATCTGACCATTTTCTATCAATACCTTTTGGTATTGGACATTTAACAAGTGCTTGTATAGCACGTTTACAATCATAATCATGATTATGTAAAACAGTTAAGGCATTTATTGTTGTATCATCTCGTTGTGCTACTTCATACATATCTTCTGGTAAACCTCTATCACACATACCAGCAAATGCTGCAATTGATCGTGCTGCTTGTAAATACATGGATAAATCAATATCGGATGTTTTATTTTTCCATAATAATTCTTCACGTAATGAACATAATTCATCATTAATACCGTTTGTTAATGATGATGATGAATATGATTTCAAAAGTGGCAATTTGGCTTGATGTGATGGGCCAACACGAATTTCACCTTGCGTGTTCGCCAGTCTGC